AAGAGGCACAGAGAACTCCCATCAAAATCAACAGGGAAAATGGCAAGACATTGCAATTAAATTTGCAAAATACAGTGATAAAGAAAAGATATTAAAAGCAGCAAGACAAAAGAAGTCCTTAACCTACAACTCTGTACAGAGCTGATGAAAGATTCTTTTGATGATTGCTTCTTCTACTGAGTCAGGGTCCCTCAAAGATCTGAACTGGGGACTCCCTGTTAAGACCCCTAGGGAATGCTACATGCCACAAAAAATGAACATTTTTCAGTAATGCAGAAAAAGGATTTTCACATTCCCTGAAATATTAGAGGAATAACAGTTGGAATGTAGGCAATGATTCATTAAAAGTTTGCAGGATCCAGATTTAGGAATCGATGTGATTGCAAAGTTGCCAGTGCATCCCTAGGGTACACTGAATCCCTAGGGTAGCTGAATGCTTAACAAGGGCATTGTTAATGGCAATCATGCCTTGGCAATGTAGTAAATGTCTGGATTTATAAATCAGAATTTAGGCAGCATAACAACTGGAAGGAGAAGTGACCTTTGCATTTGTGTTAACACTTAAGAGGCTTTTGCCATAAAGCATCACCATGTCGCCATTGGAAAGTAGTGTGGAAAAATCAGGCTTGTTGGGGTTAAGTTGTTGTAGGAGGAATTTAAAGCAAAACATTAGGGGGAAGCTCAGAACCTCTTGTGAAAATCTTGATTATCCTCCTACTCCTTGCTTTTAAAGAAGTTATTCAAAGGGAGAAAGAGAGAAGACTGAGTATTGGGGTTAGAGGTTAAGGTATTCGTGTAACTGAGCGGAATGTGCAGAACTCAGCCACCCAAGTTCAGAGAGTTAGTTCACACAGGTCGTTCACCCAACTACCAAAGCCACCAGGCTATGGGGTAAGTGAGTTACTGACTGTGGGTCAGAGAACACACTGGAAAAAGCCCTAGGCCTAAACACAAACCATGACTATTGCGTTTTTATCTAGTTGGGAAGCAGGGTCCTAAACAAAAGATCAGTAATACCTCACACATTTGCCCCCACCATCAAGCAGCCACCAGAGACAGTTTTAATACCATAGCACTACATGGGTTTGGGGGATGAGAAAAAAAATGCTTCCATCTGTTCTGGCTCTTGTGAGGATAGGTATTTTTTGGAGGGATCAAAAGAACGCAAGAAACTAAGATCCAGAAACAGGAGAGAGGTCACAGAGTCAATCTCTCCTGACCCCATAAACAAAAACGCTTGGTAAATACCATAGCTCTCCCCTCTCTCCTTGGTTGGCCTACGCCCCAGTATTAAAGTAGTATGCGGGGTTTCTGTAATCAGTGTGGGTCCAAAGGTCAGCCCCAACTCTAAGTGTGAACAAATGTGGTCAAAGCCCTATGTTGAGAATGCCACCTGCTTTCAGGGTAACTATGGAACTCCAGGGTTTTTGAATTTGAACCAACACAAATTGGGTAGGGTAGGATGGATTGGACTGGGTAGAGTAGGATGCTACTGCCTAACGAGTCCCAGAAATCCTATAGGCATTAGCAGCAGTTTTAGAGAAAATTTCTAGCAACCCTTCAAGAGACTGGACTAGCCTGGAAGTTGGATGTGGTCCAAATGCCTTAAGTAAAATATAGCAGTACCACGTTTTACCTTCTGATCCCAACTCACCACCCCTTACCTCCAGCCCCTGCCACCCCCTCAGAAGTCCTGTACTAAAACACACAAGAGTCTGCAAATATTTTTCTTGAGAAAATGTATGACGGGAAAGAGGGAGTTTTATTAACCAAAAATCCTCTTAGAAAGGGAGTATACTGTCTTTGTTGGAAAAATCCTTTGATAATTGCTTGGGGGTAGAAACTGACATTTGAGAGCACCTGGGTGGCTCAGTGCGTTGAGCCTCTGCCTTTGGCTTAGGTCATGATCTCAGAGTACTGGGATCGAGCCCCACATCGGGCTCTCTGCTCAGCAGGGAGCCTACTTCCCTCTCTCTCTCCCTCTGCCTGCCTCTCTGCCTACTTGTGATCTCTGTCAAATAAATAAATAAAATCTTAAAAAAAAAAAAAAGGAAAGAAACTGACATTTGAGGGATATTGGTTTTGGTGGCTTATCTGCAGAAGGCAAGGGGATGGTTTTATTGATTGATCCCAAGATAAGGGGGAGAAGTGAGAGGAAAATAAGAGGGGAGATGAAAACTGGAGATGTGAACTCCCTGCTAGATCACTCACTTGGGGGCAGGAAGAGCTTTAGCAAGCATTAAAACTCAATTTCATAGTTTCTTTCCTAAAAATATTCCAAAGACATATGAAAGATGCTAAAAGTGTGGACTCCTTTCAAGTGCAATTATCTTGGATGCACTTGGTGCTAGCTGAGTTGCTAGAAACTGACAAGGAAGCTAAGTTCTACATTCAACACGTTGTTGCTAAAAAGGAGATAGATAGCTCTCTAAAGGTTAAGAACTACCAAGGAGGACACACACACACTAGGAGCAAACTGTGAGAACAGGTATCATGAAGACAGTCACAGGCCACAGAACTGGGTTTTCATCCAAGTTAACCAGATATTCAAGGAGTAGGAAGCCCCTAGCTGACAACGTGGCTATCCTAATTTTGTCGCCGCTGTGTTGTCATCCATCTTACTTCTGAATGAGTTTTCTATGACACATTTGGAAGCGTGCCACACCTGTAATCAAAATTCTTCAATAATCCCCTATTGCCTACAGGATTAAAATAAAGAAGAAAAAAGAAAACCTCTGCAAGGCATTTAAGGCTTTTCTCAGCTTCTTGCAAACTGCCTGGTGAGCAGTAGGCTCTCTAAACACTGATGTATAAATAAGTAGGACTGGCTCTCTCATTTCTGTCAGGCTCCACACAAAAATCACAGAACTAATCAATAAAGTCATCCCTGGCCATCTGTTGAAACCTCAACAAGCCCACAAACCCAATCTCCATAGCCTCCTTCTCTGCTTATTTCTCCCTTCAGTTCTCATCAATACTTTACATATTAGATATGATATATTTTCCTTATTTAGTTTATTGTCTGTATCTCTCTGTAGGCATATAAATATATAAAAAGTAAACTACACACGAAAAATCTATGAAGACAGGAATTGTTAACTTTTTAATTTCTTCACTACTCTATCTTCAGTAACTTAGAACAGGACTTGGCACATAGCAAGGGCTTAAAATACGTGTAGGTCGGATGGATGGGTCGATGGATAATGAAAGCCTCAGCTCAAAGACAATCTCCACCTGAAGTCGCCAGCAGATTTAGATATTTCTCCTCCCCACTGCTGTCCCGTACATATCTTCTCTTACCATATTGTACTTCTTTGCATGTTGTTCTGAGTTGAAAACTACAGCAAAGTTAGTGCCCTCAATCTTCATATGCTTACAAGTGAATTCTTTGTATTTTGTACATGACAGGTCACTGAGTGAATGATTAATTATATCCCCATTTTAAAGATGCAGAAACTGAGATTCAGAAAGGTTAAATAACTTTTAAGGACACACACTAGTAAGTTGCAGAGGTTAAGATTTATCATAAACATATGCCACACCATTCCTTTAACTACTACCATCTCTCCCTACAATGTTCTAGCCTGCCCCCCACATTTTCTGTTTATCCATATTGAACCCACTGCTAAGTCCCCGCTCAAATCTCACCTATTTAGTGAAATCTTCCTGATGACTTATTTATGGTAATTTCTCCCTTTTTTCTCCAGAAAACTCCTGAGGTGACATTCAGGGTGAATGGGGTATGGGCCTTGGAGAATAGCTTATCCATGTCTCATCTGTGTTCCACACTCCAAATTCAGACTCTTGGTGCAAAGGCCTACTTATTTTGCAGGTAATGCACCCTCCATTGGTTCCAACTTCAGGTAATGTTCTCTTATGGTCTGCATATCTTTCCTGACGATTTATGTGGCTGATGATGGAAGCAATTATTTGCATGATTTGGTTGAGCTGAGCTCCCAGAAGAAGCTGCAAAATGCAGCAAAGTATCCAAGGTTATCTGAACACACAGCGTCCCTACCCTGAGGTTAGCATTTAGGACATCTGTCTCTGCTTCTCTTGGAAGTAAGGGCTTCAACCTTCCCCAGATGTGACTCCTCCAAGCTTCCTACATAAAAAGCCAAAGCTTATGTCCTATTAGCCATTTCCTCATGTTGCCATATGGGAAATAGAGACTGACTTTTCACTGGCCCAACTTTTTCCTTTTTAAATAGAGGAATGTATACCAACATTAGAAATAATTTTTGTTGTCAGTGGTCCTTAACAAGTAATGCAAAAAGTTACTTACAGTTGAAAGAAAATGTGCTTGTTTCCTGTCCTCATGTCCTCATCGCTCAAGCTGAGACACTTAAAATCAGAACCTGCAAAAATTCGCAATAATTTCCCACTGTCTTTGGTACTTAAAATCTTCGGTAGATATCTAAACATCCTATACCTAATAATGTGCCATCCAAGTCTGTAAAAGGACTGCAACGTTGAACCCTTCATTTTGTCCACATCAAATACTGAGATTAATTTGGGAAGAAGTAGTGAATTAAAAGTGCAGGTTTGGGCTAAACACCTGTGTTCGAATCCCATCTGCATCGTCTACCAGCCATGTAACACTGAGTAAGTTTTTTAACGCCTCGATCTCATTTTCCTCATTTTAAAATGAGATCCCACCCCTTCATAAAAGAGTAGTAAATGATATAAAAAGAGTAGTAAATGATAAAGCTATTTGGGGGCTTACTATGCTCTAGGCACTATGTTGAGCACTTTGCATGCATCTCATCTAATTGTCGCCAATCAGAAGAACCCGCCTTCTTCACGCCTCTATTCCCAGCGAAACTGCAGCTCGAGGCTAGCGGCCGCAGGGGCGGGGATCAACCTCTGGAACCCCGTTTCACGCCCGACTCGCAGACCGCGCCTAAGCAACTGCGGCCCTGGGGTGGGGGGAGCCTGTTTCCAGCCGGACCGCGTCCCTGGGCGCTCCGGAGCGCTGCGCCTGCGCGCTGAGCCCGTCACCGCGCCAGCCCTACGGACGTGCGCTTGCTGCCTTCGCGACGTCTGGGCCCTGGGATGCGCGCCTGCCCGGTCCGTGCCAGCTCCAGGTGCGTGAGGAGGACTAGAGGAGTCCGTGTGTGAGGTGGAGCGATCCCCGGGAAGGGTCGGCGCTGCCTCGATCCCTCCAAGGTGCCCGGGGACCCATAGCGGGGACGCCACGACCTCAGCTCCCATTCCTTTTCCAGTCCCCCGCCTCTTGGGGAGCCGCAATCCTTTAGAGGAAGGCGCAGAAAGGATGCATTTCCCCTGCTGGTGGTCGAGTCGCGTGAGGCATTTCCCCTGACTGCGGCCAAAGCTGTTTTCACGCTTGCCCTTCCTTTCCTGGTGTGGGATTTTGCAGTCTCTGGGCTCGACTCGACTCCTTAGGTGCTTATGGGTTGTGGGTGATTAGGGCGACGGCCGGACTTCAGGGTTCTCTGTCCTTTGCAGCCCGTCTGGGACGAGAGGTGAGGGTTTAAGAGCGTGGGCCAGGGGAAGTGGGGCAGAAGCAGCCACCAAGAAGGAAAGGCTGTGATAAATGTCGCCAGAGATTATTTCCCAGCTGGAAGTGGCCCAAGTTTCTCTCAGGGATTTCGTCTCTTGTTCATTGGCTTTTGTGATGTCCTCACTGTGCTTTTATTATGTTAGTTAGTTAAAAAAAAAAGAAAGAAAGAAAGAAAGAAAACACAACAAGCAAAAAACACCAAAAAGCTTTCAGCCTTGAAGCGTTTTTGAAATTTTTTTAAAATCGGTTTTTACAGTCTTCCAACAGAGCGTGTCTTGCAGTTGTCAGAATAATCTTCAGGTTGAACCACTGAGATTTACTGTTTTACTTTTTGTTTTCAGTTTAATAGGAAAAAGTACACGGAGTTGGCTTTGGTTTGGTTTGGTTTTAATATTGCCACCAACAACAATAAAATCAGTTGAGAGCCTGAGAATCAATTGAAGTGGGATTGGCAGCTCTCTCAAATTAATGTGTACCCTGTCGAAGTACATATGGGACTGCCCTTGGAGCACTGGAGATCCCTGAGCTATGACTTATAAATAGCAGATGAGATCACTTGTTGCCACCAATGGTTCAAGCAAAGTAAAGTGCTTTCCCACCTGGTATAAAGGCAAATGACAATAGTATCCAGTCTTAACTGTTAGTGGTAGTTGATCAGCCATAGACACTTTGGCACAGGAACTGTAGGTAGTCAGTTCCTGTTACAATCAGAGCTGGTTGTGTTGTGTGGTTCTAGTCTGGGACTTTTTTCAAGCGTATTCCATAGAAACTATTGAAGAAAAAAAGTTATAGGGTAGGAATAGAGGAGATGGGCTCCTGGACAAAATCCTTTGTGTGATCTTTCAGGCCTGAAGGTAGACAATTGCATGTCTTTGGCTGGCCAGCCTTATTAGGGGGGAAAACTGCCCTCTCCACACCAGGCTTGTGCATGGCCAGTGCATTGCAGTTTTCTGGAGGGAGTTGCAATCAAGGACTCATCCCATGTTTACACTAGCTTGGGTTGTTGGCTCAGTTACCTGCTTTCAGAAGGTCTTGGCGGGGTGCTTCCCAGGCCCCTCCATCTCTGCCAAGACCCCTTGGGTGGGTGGGGGGAGGGGCTTGCTTGAGGTATTTTGCTCTGTTTTAACTAGGGACTTTTCCACTCTTAGCCCGCCTTTCCTCTTCCTCTGGCCCACAGGCCCATAATGAGGCGGAAGCCTTTTGTTCTGGCCCCCTCTGCAGGGAGATGCAGTGTCTGCTGCATCCGTCTGATCCTCATCTAGTGTAGTTCTGTCTAATGGACCCTGGGAACCAGTACTTGTTTGGCCTCATCCTTGCACTGTGGCAGTACGTGAATAAAGGCTTGATTATTATTTTCATCTTGGCTCTTTGTCCTAATTGACCAACCTGACACCTGATAGCTTGACAGGAATGAAATAAATTGCCAAGTTCTTGGCAATTTATCGGATTCATAACTTAACTTTAATTCTCGTAACTGTTGGTGTGTTCGCATGTTTAGGGATTTAGAGAGGGTTCACCAGTATTTTCTCTAACCCAGTGTAGTGAAAATGAATATGAATAGCACCAACAGTTGATTGTTGCTAACATGGATATCTGGGTTATATGGTATATTTTGTAAATGAATATAGTGGCTTGCAGTCAGAGTCTAATATTTTGCATAGACTTGTATGGCATATCCATTTGGCCTCTAATTACATTTTTTGGTAAATATTTCAGGGTTATATGGCCCAAGTGAAAAAAATTAGATACTGCTGCTTTCCTTAGTAATCCTGCCTCATCCTGTGGGCCCCAGTCTTACCTAATGGATTACTTGATTACTTTGAATAAAGTGATTTGTTGTGGTTTCCTCTGACTAGGGTTGTGTGAAGAGATGTACGAGGAACAGCTTTCACAACATTCTTACCTCTTTCAACAGAAGTTTCACAAAACAGTATTCATCTTTATGTTATGCAGTCTGATACTTTCTACTCTTTATTAAACAAGACTGCCGATCATGACCCACTGAATTGATTTCACGGTGCATTAATGGTAGCAACTTGCAGTTGTGTTTTTCAAACACAAAAACACTGTAATAAAGCACGTAGTAGAAGAAACTTGTTCAGTAAACGAATGTTTTTGTTTCTAATTCACATTGTTGCAAAGAACCACAGTGGATATATTTGCGATTTTGTGTTTAGGGTATCTTCTAGGAGAAAACAGTACGCATATATGTTGGATGTTTGCTAAGTTAACTGACAAAAGAACACTGCGTTTCTGGTAGATTTAACAACTTTCTGATTTCAACTAGAAGATACAACATTAGAGAGGTAGAGCAGCTTTTTTTTTTTTTAATCTCTGACTCCTTTATTTAAAGTAAATGCAATAGTAGAAGAATGAGAAGATTGGTTTCTCTGATAAAAGAAGATAAGGTATACAGTTTTTGTGAAAATACTTAGTAGTCTTTTGCATGTGTCCTACAGAGTTATATTAGCGAAAGCATATTTGTCCTTATATTAACTCCAAAACCAAAATGATCCTTTTATTATATTGTCTGAAAAGTGAACCACACTTAACTTTCAGTTACTTAGCCATTGATAAGAATATAAGTAGCCAATTTGCCTCATCGACTCTGTACCTGTCTTTTAGGAATTTCACAACAAATGCAAAGAAGAAATACAAAGAACTATAAATTTAGATAGTTTATTTCTTAGTTAGAAACTCTAAAAATACATAATATGTAGACAAGGATAAAGTTTTAAAATTTGATTAGTGTTGAGCTAAGTAATATCTCCCTTTTGTAGATCGCTTCATAGTTTTCCAACACATTTTGATGGATTATTTCCATTGATTCTCACAACTTGATGTGGCATGCAGCCAGGAGGCATTTTCCCTGTTTTAGTGATGAATTTATCTCCTTTTTTCTGCCACTGAGATCATACAGTAACAAATCAGGACTAGAACCCAAGTTATCTGGGGCATTTTCTCCCAGTTGTCCATGTTGTCTTTGTTGGTCCAAAGAGGTAATTAAAAGTAAATACTGTTAATGATGTGGCTAAGTAATCCAACCTTGGTAACTGAAACATTCTCTCAGATCATACCCATGGTATGCTATAATTAAACGCAAGTAATCTTATTTTTATTTTATTTTTTAAAAAGATTTATTTATTTATTTATTTGACAGACAGAGATCACAAGCAGGCAGAGAGGCAGGCGGAGAGAGGAAGGGAAGCAGATTCCCTGCTGAGCAGAGAGCCTGATGCGGGGCTCGATCCCAGGACCCTGGGATCATGACCTGAGCCGAAGGCAGAGGCTTAACCCGCTGAGCCACCCAGGCGCCCCAATAATCTTATTTTTAGTTTTACATTTTAATTCTTTTATATTTTAATTCTTAATAAAATTTATATTTTAATTCTTATACTTTAATTCTTTATATATTTAATTCTTACTTTTATTTTATATTTTAATTCTTTACCGTTCTAGCTTAATTTTTAAAAAATGACAAAGTGGGACACCTGGGTGGCTTAGTCAGTTGAGCGCCCAACTTGATTTGGGCTCAGGTCATGATTTCATGGTCGTGAGGTGGAGCCCCACATTGGGCTCTGTGCTGAGGGTGGAGCCTGCTAAGATTCTTTTCTCCCACTGCCCCTCCCCACCCTGATTCATACACAGGTTCTCTCTCTCTTTCTCTTAAAAATGAATAAATAATAATGACAAAGCAACTAAATAATGATGACGCTACTTAATAGAGAACTAGGAAACTTGGAATTAAAGAGTCTATTTATAATGTTAAGAAATTTGACTCCTCCCCTTTCTAATGTATTGTCTCAATGAATTAGAAATATAGCTTAAAATTATGTAGGTTTTTAGAGATTTTTTTACAATTTTATTTATTTATTTATTTTTTAAGATTATTTATTTGACAGAGATCACAAGCAGGCAGAGAGGCAAGCAGAGAGGGGGGAAGCAGGCTCCCCGCTGAGCCTGCTTTTTAATTTATTATTTTTTATTATTTTTAATTTATTATTATATATTTTTATTATTTTTAATTTATTATTAAAAATAAATAAAAATACTTATTTTTAAGTAAGCTCTACACCCAGGGGCTTTAACTCCTGATCCTGAGATCAAGAGTTGTATACTGTACTGACTGAGCCAGCCAGGCACCCCTAGAAGTTTATTTTAAAGATTTATCATTTCTTTTCTTTTTTTTTAAGATTTTATTTATTTGTCAGAGAGAGTGAACAGGCAGGCAGAGTGGCAGACAGAGGCAGAGAGAGAAGCAAGCTCCCTGCCAAGCAAGGAGCCTGATGTAGGACTCGATCCCAGGACACTGGGATCATGACCTGAGCTGAAGGCAGATGCTTTTTTTTTTTTTAAAGATTTTATTTATTTATTTCACAGAGATCACAAGTAGGCAGAGAGGGAGGCAAAGAGAGAGGGGAAAGCAGGCTCCCTGAGAAGCAGAGAGCCTGATGTGGGGCTCGATCCCAGGACCCTGGGATCATGACCTGAATCGAAGGCAGAGGCTTTAACCCACTGAGCCACCCAGGCACCCCTGAAGGCAGATGCTTAACCAGCTGAGCCGCCTAGGCATCCCAAGACAAAGCATTTCTGTGTGTGAATTTAGTTTTATAAATCTAAAGTATTCATCTAAAATGGTTATTAACTTACTTTTTAAACGTAGAAAAAGGCCAGGTTCTCCTGTACCCTTAATATCTTTAACCAAAGGACAACTTAAATTATTTTTTATATGAATAAATAATTTTAAATTAACACATTTTTATTTTTGATTTTTTAGACATCTGTGGAGTTTAAGAACATGGAGTTCATCAGAGTATATCACTGAAGAATATGATGGCTGAGAACAATTTAAAAATGCTAAAGATTCAACAGTGTGTAGTAGCCAACAAACTACCTAGAAACAGGCCATATATTTGCAATATTTGCTTCAAGCACTTTGAAACACCATCAAAATTAGCTAGGCATTATCTCATTCATACTGGTCAAAAACCATTTGAATGTGATGTGTGTCATAAAACCTTTAGGCAACTGGTTCATCTGGAGAGACATCAATTAACTCATAATCTGCCTTTTAAATGTAGCATTTGTCAACGCCACTTTAAAAATCTGAAGACATTTGTGAAGCACCAACAACTTCACAATGAAACGTACCAGAATGATGTTAAACAGGTCAGAAGACTGTTGGAGGCCAAGCAAGAAAAGCCAGTATATGGGATGTATCATACTTTTACCACAGAGGAAAGATGGGCATTACACCCATGCTCTAAGTCTGATCCTACATACAGCCCTACAAAGAAAAGAAAGAATATTCATGCGTGTACAATCTGTGGCAAGATGTTTCCATCACAGTCAAAACTTGATAGGCATGCACTTATTCATACTGGCCAGAGGCCTTTTAAGTGTGTCTTGTGCAGTAAATCTTTCCGACAGTCAACTCATTTAAAAATTCATCAACTCACACATTCAGAAGAAAGACCTTTTCAATGTTGTTTTTGTCAAAAAGGATTTAAGATTCAGAGCAAACTTATGAAGCATAAACAAATCCATACCAGGAATAAGACTTTTCAGACTCTTTCATTAAAGGTAAAGAGTCCAGAGTCATGCCCCCTGCCTAATAAATTAAATGCAAAGCAGGATGGTTTTGAAAATGGTGATATAGGTGAATCTGGGGAGAATAATCAGCTTGATGTCCACTCTATTTACATCGTCCCTTTTCAGTGTCCAGAGTGTGAAGAGTGTTTTGAATCTGAACAGATTCTCAATGGACATAAGTGTTTTCCTGCCAGAAGTGGCGAAATTCCAAGCAGGCTCAAAAGAAACTACAACTATAAAACCATTGTGAAAAAAATCTTGGCTAAACTTAAACGTGCTGGGGGTAAGAAATTAGATAATTTTCGATCTGAGAAAAAACTATATAAAAACAGTTTCTTGAAAAATTATGATCTTATTTCTGGTGAGCAGAGCCCCGAACAAACCCAGAAAACATTTATGGGTTCTCTTGGCAAACATGGAACATATAAGCCAGTTGGCAATAAAAAGAAGAAAACGTTGACTTTGCCATTTTCTTGGCAAAAGCACTTTCAGAGCCAAAATATGGGTAAAAACTTGAAAGGTATCCTTACAACAGAAAACATGTTAGATAACTCCGTGAATAATAAAGATGTATCTATCTATGGTTCATCGGGAGAGGAATTCTTTGATAATTGTGAAGTGCTTCAGTGTGGTTTTTCAGTTCCAAGTGAAAACATCCATACTGGACATAAGATGTGTCCTTGTGACAAATGTGAGAAAGTGTTTCCTTCTATATCCAAACTACAAAGACACTATTTAATTCATACTGGACAGAGACCTTTTGGCTGTAATATTTGTGGGAAATCTTTTAGGCAGTCAGCTCACTTAAAAAGACACAAATTAACTCATATTGATAAGATTCCTTATAGAAGATCTCTTTGCCAAGAATTTGAAAATTTGAACCAACTTCTCATTCATCCAGGCGATAATGTTAACTATAATGCTTCCCAACAATGTCAGACTCTTGGTTTCCAAAAATACGAGGTCTTGGAGTCAGATCAGATATCAGAAATAAAAGTTAAGGCTGAATCAGAGGATTTCATTCTTAGTACCCCCTATAGGAACAGGCAGCCTTATCTCTCTAGTGCGCTACTGCAATCAGAGCAGAACCAACATGGTCATTGTTGTAGTTATTCAGGGCGTGCAGAGAGGAATGATGGCCTTCTTTACCAATGCAGCGTTTGTTCCAAAAGTTTTAGATCTCCATCTAAACTGGAAAGACACTATCTAATTCATGCGGGGCAGAAGCCATTTGAATGCTCGGTTTGTGGCAAAACATTCAGACAGGCTCCTCACTGGAAAAGACATCAACTTACTCACTTTAAGGAATGACTAACCACAAGATAAAGTTCTCAGATTCAGTTATGTAACTGACAGAACCAGGAACACATTTGTGGTCTCTCTGGTGATCTCATTCTTAAAGCCTATATCATAGAAAATGTGTTTTCATTAAAAGGCCTTCGTTAGGTTGAGTGATGTCATAGGCAGTTGCTTATCCTGAAAGTAAGAGCCAAGATACATAGAAAATTAATACAATGTTTTAGGAACAGCCAAATTAATTTTTAGGGGGAAGAGCATGGTTTGATGCCATATAGAAGACATTTATTTATTTTAATATATACTTTGACTATTGAAAATGTAAATCCATGATGCGGTACAATAACTCAGTTCATCATTTTTTAAAGGAATTATTTCTTTTTTTTAAAGGAATTATTTCTTACTGTATGCCATCTCCTTTTAGATATACTCAAAAGACAGAGGTAAAAGTTGGGTTTTGGCTGCAGCAAATAGCCCCACTACATTTTACTTATTTTGTTTCATATGAAAGCATAATTTTGTCCACCTATGGCTCAAATTCCATTGTAAAATTTTTTCTTGTAAGTTTAAAAACTGAAGGCAGTAAAAGTGAAGATGGATGAAAAAATCATGGCATTATTTTCATTGGTCTTTTGCAAACCATTTATTCTTAGGACCCTTGTAGCTTCACCTCCTTTTCCAGAGGGGATTAGAAGTTGGCCTTTTGCGCAGCTTTTTGTCTTTCCCAAAAGATCTGAAAGTAGGAGAGAGACTAGAATGCACCTGTATACATTTATCATGTTTACTAATCAGGAATATTTTCCAAGTGCCATAATCTTTTTGAGGATATGTATGCAGTATTATCTTCTCAGAGGAATAAATGAAATTCATCTATTTACTAAATAATTGACAACAGTAGTTGTATAGACTTAAGACTCACCTATAGATCTGCATCTCCACAAGACTTCTGTTTTACTTCAGTAAAACTTTGTTTTAATGCCTCTTGAATTGAGTGGTCCTGTGACTTAACTAAATCTGTTAAGTTTGATCAAATGGCAATGACTAGGTCTAATTCTAGTTTTTAATTCTGTTGTTTCTCGCAAGATGCTAATGCTAAAGAATGTTATTTTGATCCTTAGCAAATTGTTTTGATTAGTAAGGTAATTATTCCCAATAGTAATAAAGTGCTTATGGAATTGAGGGTATCATTCTTCGACAGCACTGTCATGATTGGGAAATACTGAATCTTAAGCTATAAAAGACATGATCACAAATTGTCCTTTGTGTTTGCCATTTTTTAATAAAATCTTTAAGAATGACATTTCTTAGTAATAAAGTAACCATTATCTTTGAAGAGAAGAACAGGTGGGTGTTTGTCCTAGTGTACTTAAATATAGTGACAAGCCCTCTGTTGAGAATGGATAATAAACATTCTTTGCATTGTAAGCTCTTTTTCATACTCTAAGAATTGTCTTTGTATGGGAAGAAGGGGGAAGAGAGGTTGATTATCTTTTTCCAGTGCATTTTGAGAAACGTGGGTTTAATATACAGAGAGAAAATGTAACAGTACAGATAAAATGCCCAATGTGTATTAATATGCAGGAGAATCATGTTTTAAAGAAGAATTTCTCTTAGGTTTCCTCCGGATATGTTCCTCTAATGCAAGCAAGATGATGGTTTACAGAATTTGCTTTACAAAAAACTTTTCAAGAACATACCTATTACATAAAAACAAGGAATAATTAGTTAATATTTTCTAAGAATATAGGTAGGTTCAAGGATTTTTTTGTTTGAAATGATGTATTGGGGGATTTTCCAAAGCTATTTATTTAATTTTACTTGAAGCAAATGTCTCATTTAGCCATTTCCCAGATCAAACAGGGAGAGTCCTAACAGTGTTGTGCTTGTATGATTATTAGACTTTTTTGCTTAAGTGATTCTACTATACTTTTTTTTTTTTTGGCCCATGACTTTTTAAGCTGTTTCATATTGAAAGTTGGAATATTGTAAAAAATTTTGTCAAAGATGTACTGTAGTGCTATTTGAAGTACCTGTAACAATCCTTATTTACCTTTATCACTGCAAGCTTCTTGTGGAAACTTTATAGGAATGAAAATAAACTGTATACCTCCATGATATAAAAATTAAACATTAGATGTTAAATGATGATTTGCTGCATGCTAGAACTGTTAGTATTGTTGAATCAATTACTTTGGTTTTCTGAAAAAATAAAACTTTATAAATACCTTTAAAGAGATTTATTAAAAATTTTTTGTTTGGGTGATTCCAGGCTGTAGCATGATTACTTACTGAAGTAGTTCCATTGGCTGAGTTAGTGGAATTATTGTTTCTTGTTTTGTACTGCAGTAGGGCCAAAAATTTTAAGACAAAATGTGTGTGTGTGTTGAAAGAAAGTGGGTGGTGGTTAAGAGTCCTGAAGAGTTTAAATTTCAGAGTATTTTAAAAATAAACTTTCAAATTACAGAGTTTGGACTTTTTTTTTTTTTTTTTAATAGAAGGCAAAAGCACATAATACTAGAATAAGGTACTGATGGCCAAACACTTTTCCTGGGCCCACTCCAATCCACCTTCTACACTGAATTTCCTAACATGGATATTTAATCATCTCCCTTCTACTTATTTATTTTTTTTTACTTTTCCTTTTTAGTACATTTCTTTGATAGTTTATTACCACCTACAAAAGGATGTTAACTGTATTACATGTCACATGATCTACCTGTTTACCCATTTATCTTCCTCTTTGGCCTTGCTCCAGATTTGTGCTAAAGAAATATAGAGTTAGTTCCTCCCATGCATATTCTTGCTATTCTTGTCTCCATTTTGTCTACCCACTATTATTTTAAATTAGATACAGACTTTCACACTGTTCAAAGAAGAAATTCAGTTCAGCCAGATTTTATTTGACTTTACATGATTATGGGAAAAAAACTAAAGTGTTTAAAACTGGCTTGCAGAAAACATTTTTTTAAATCATGGATTGACTTTTACTTATTTTTTTAACATAATCTCTATCCCAACATGGGGCTTCAACTCACAACCCTAGGATCAAGAGTCGCATAGTCTATTGACTGAGCCAGCCAGGAGCCCCCAAAACATTTCAATTTATATGTTATGTTAAATAACCCTTATTTGGGTTTTCTGTTGTTTTTTAGTAATCTCTACATTATACATGGGGGGCTTGAACTCATGGCTCTGGGATCAAGAGTCCAGGCCACCTACCGAGCCAGCCAGATGCCTCAAGGACTTTTTGATGAAACAGAGTATCTGCTTTTTAGAAGCAGGAAAGAACATTTAATTCCCATCTTGAACTTTCTATTGCTGATTAGAAGGACTTAAATATCAGGGCTAACTGCTGGGGTTCAGTTAGCACCAAGAGAAAAAAAAAAAAACAAAATTGACACAATGGTATTATTAAAGGAATATGGAACTTGTAATATTTTACATCTACACTGGCAAATTTCTATTCATTCTTTGAGTTTGAACTTAAATACTACTTCCTCTGGAAGCCTTTCTGATTTACCCAAACAATCCATACCCTGTACTCCCACTGCTTTTTGTTCATAACTCCATTAATTGCAACTGTTGATCAGTGGTTTTCAAATTTTAGTGTGCATTGGAATCATATAGAGAGTTTGTTAAAAGCATGGATAGCTAAGCCACATCTTCAGAGTTTCTCTCTCGTCACGTTTTGGGCCCAATAATTTGCATTTTTTTGCATTTATGCAGGTTAGCTATTAGGTCAAATCTGAAGTTGTGTTTGGAAAGAAGGGAGGATAGGCCAAAAAAAAAAAAAAAAAAAATCCACTGCACCTTGCGTAAAAACAAACAGTTGGGACAAAAAACTCGAGTTTTACCTGTTATTCTGGTTACTGTTGTATCTTTCTGTTTTTTATATTGAAAATCCATTTTACACCTACTTTCTCCATTGCCTCTTCACTCACTAACCCGTCAGCCCCTTTTTACCTAGTAGCCCTTTTCCCCTAGTATGGCAATAGGGATGGATTGCAAAAAGCATGAGGAAACTTCGGGGTGTTGAATATGCTTAACATCCTGATTTGGGTGATGGTTTCACGGATATAGGACTGAAAACAGATCAAATTTTACACTCCAAATAATGTGCATGCAGTTCATTGTATGTCAACCTATACCTTCATGAATCTTTTAAAAACATTTAAAACCAAGCCCCTCACACCCAGCCTGTTTTTTTCACTACCGCTTTTTTTAGGTTTGAGAGAACTGTCAAGTCTCCCCTATGCCGGCAACTCTACCAGGAGAACCCTCATCCAACACCACCTACCTGCCCAGGCATTGAGACTCTATCTGCACTATCGGGTGCGTTCTCCCATCTTCCCGCTAGGGGGCGCACGAGGAGGAGGCCGAAGCCCTTGCATTCTCTAGCTCAGAACCAACGCCTGCATGAACTTCCGGCCCTATTCCGTTCCGCTTCCGGGGAAATGTACGGGCTGGTACGCGCTCCTCTGAGACTGTGAACAGTGAGGATATCTTGGCCCGCGGGCTACTGGCTCGCGGAGTTGGGCAGCCACAGCTACCTGTTAGGGGAAGTGCATCGGGTTCACCACTGCTCCGAGCGGACCTTTCCTTTCCACTGGAGCGGAGTGAGAGTGCTGCCATGGCGGCCCCTGCTCAGCCCAAGAAAATCGTGGCTCCTACGGTGTCCCAGATCAACGCGGAGTTCGTAACCCAGGTGCGCTTGGCCGAGTCTGGTGTGTGTGAAAGGAGGAGATGTCAAGGCTCCCGAGGCCTGGGTCTGGGATTTTCCGTGGGACTGGGAGCACCTAGGAAGCATTCGTTCGTCAATTCATTCACTCAAGTTTTCGAACTGAGTATCTGCTCTGTGTCGGCCACTGTGTTGGGCGCTGGGGATACCACAGGGAAAGAGCCGCCTTGCCCTACGGAGTACAGGTTCCAGGGAAGATAGAGAAATAAAGAGAAATATACTAAGCGAGCTTTTCTGTACTGGAGTCTGTCGCAGAAGCGGTAGATTCACAGAAGAAAGCACCCCAGCCTATCTGAGACTGTCAGGGTTTCGTAGCCGAGATGATGCCGAACAGAGAGGAAGGAGTAGAGTTTTTCTTAGCCTTCGAGTAACTAGGCTTTTGTATGGAGTGACGAGAGTCGGCCAAGACACCTGCTCCAAGTAGATGCATCTATGAAGAGAGCAATGGCGTTATCCGAAAGCATTCATTTAGAGCCCGTTTACTGTGTTGCATTGCGAACCGCGGTGGGCTGTGAAAAAGGAAGCAGTCCTAGCCCTCAACAACGTTCCTAATCCTTATTTCGCTGCTTTGGGTGTTGGTTAAGAGTGCAAGTAGTTCCCTGCCCAAGTTATCCCATCTTCGTCTTTCTTCTCTGGTCTGTCTGAGATGCGCCAACGCAGAAGCCTCAGGGTCACTCTGAACCCCCCTTTCCCTTAAACACTATGTGTTTACATTCTAAATATCTTTCAAGTCTGTCTGCTTCTCTGTACCCTAAGCTACGTTGCCCTTGTTTATTCTGTGGGCCTACGCACCCTAACCTGTGGTTGGTGGCTTTCCCCCAGCCCATTCTCCACATTGCTGCTAGTGATTTTACACAAATGCAAATCCAGTCATATCACTTGCCTTTTTAAAATCTATAGAGTTCTAATTTCTCTTAGGGTAATGACCAGGATCTTTGAAAATACTGTGTAATCTGGCCTGTGCTTATATCCACTTTCCTCTCTCTTTCTTACTCTGCTTTAGCCATACTGACCCGCATTTACTTAAATTCGTCATGCTTTCTTTAACCTTCTGGTCTTTCAACATTGTTCCTTCTGCTCAGAATCCTCATTTTCTCCCACTTTATGCGGTTAATTCATTGTCATCCATCTACATTACTTGGGAGAAGCTTTCCTTACAACTTAAACTAGATTAGATCTCCCTTTTCCCATGTACCTGTATTTTTATGGTTAAAGCCGTTTATTAATTTCCTTCGCTCAAGGAGCTCAGATTTTAGAGATGAGTCGGACAAATTAACAGTACAGTTTCAAATAGGGATAAGTGGTATCAGGAAAATGAAGCAGGCTGTTATGACACTGACTAGGGTGGGGTGTATGAAAGGCAGTCAGGAAAGTTCTCTCTGAGGTGACATTTGAGCTAAGACATATGAATGCGAAGAAATGCCAGTTTGGGGGAGAGCAGGGAAACAATGCAGGGAATAGCAAGTGCAAATGCTTTATGGTGTGAATATAAAAAACGCCGGGATAGAAACACAAGAGGGAGAATGGCGTGAGATGAGGACAGATAGTATGTAGACATCATATCGTATATAGTTTTGGAGAGTGAGATAAGAAGTTTGGATTTCATTTTCAGTACAGTAGATTTTAATTGCAATCCGGGGAATATTTTAGAAAGGATCTTCTGGCTAATGGGTAGAAACTGGGTGGGAGTGAAAGAGTAAAAGTAGCAGTAGGGTTACCAGTGACTCCAGGTAAGAGATGATGGTGG